CTCTTAAAACCCCTCACTACAAGTTATATCCATCATCACTCCTCCAATTGCATGACATTCCCTTCATCTGACACATTATCAAAAAACATACACATTTATCCTACCACCACATAAAACATTCATGGACACACATTTTTATAATAGCTTCCTAGAGGATAGGAAAACATTTAAATAAATATTTGTTTATCAAAATGCTTAATGAAAGGCCAAAGCATTCTCGGATGCTTTCTCTCCTAATAGCCATATTATTTACTAAATTCAGCAGTTCCAGAGGAGATTTACCAATTAGCTCAAACATAATTATCACATTTTAGAGGCTAGTCCAAAAATCTAAAGCCCTCAACAGCTTTGAAAAAATCTCACCCACCAAGCACCTTTGCCACCCAATACAGGCACTTACCAACACAACCCTGCAGCACTTTCTGTAGGAGTCAGCCCTCACTCATGCTTCTGAAATGTTATGATTCCTTCAACCGACTTACTATATTTCATCTATGACCAGATTGCAAGAGAGCTCTGAGAGCAGTTACAGTCCTGTCTTTTGAGTGATTCATTCCCTTTAATTAAATGCCCTTGAAATATTACTGCTGGGAATGTCATCAAGTGCATCCTCTGCTTGAAAATAGGATCAACAAGCACAATAATTAGAGCAGAGCTGACTTTCACAGCTCTAAGAAAACTAGGGACTAGGTTTGGGGATTTATTTTTAATGGTGCTCAGTTCTACAAAACTGAAAATCTTTTACATTATAAAACCAAAGATTCAGTCCTTAAAAGATGTCTTCTAATGAGCTACTGCCTTTGTTTTGAAATAAGAAGCACCAAGGAATCTCAAAGCAAGAACGAGACAAATATAGTGATCAAGTGCTTATGCAAGTACTTCTTCCAGTGCTATTTTATCCCAGCATTTAAACCTTCTGATCTCTACTCACATAGAGGAAGTGACAAATTCATGTCATTCTGCCAGTCAAGAAAACTCCAAACTTTAAAGATGCATCATATAACAATATGCACAGAAATAAAACCATCTGTCAGCCTCTAAAGCCAGTTAGACTCTGTGGTTAATATACCATTAATAAAGAGAGACAGAGGGGAAAAAAAAGACAATATCAGAAGTGGTTCCTTCTATATGAGGAGGAGAAAGGTTACTAATGTAAAGAGATCTCAGTTCTCAAGATGAGAATATTTGCTGTGCTGGGCAATTACGTGCAAGATCTTCATTTATATTTTAAAAGCCACCTTTAGTTTTCCATAAGCCAAGATGAACCACCCAAATATTAAGAAGGGGAAAAAAAAAGGCAGCTCAAACAAATATATGCATCAATTTCCAAGATACAGATCTAGCCTGACAGTAACTACAAAGAGAAGCTGCCTCACCCACCATGTCTGAAACTGCTTTAAAACTATAATCTGAATTAGAGGTCCATAAATTCTACCAGGGCTTCAGTAGCTCCCTCTTTAGAAGACTGCACAAAAGAAGTTACAGGTCTTTTAGTCCAGGTTTCACACGTTGCATTCTACTCTAGTCTAGATGTAGTCCATAGTTATGTAAATCATAATTTTGGGGGGAAATTCCAAGAAAAAGGGTGCTTCTTGTCATCTAGTGCCTTTCAAAGCACAGGCAACTCTCAAGGCCAATCTCATTTCCCCTTGAGACAGCTGTCTCTTCATTCTAAGGACTTACTCAACTTGTTTGGGGTCTGTCTTGATTTACACGCATGGCTATGGTGGGAATACCTGAAGCACTGTACATAGCCACGACCACCACCAAATTTTACAACAGCTAGAAACAGACTAAAAAACCACTAGTTATTAGTTTTCAAAGTATTATTTTTAAAACAGCACAGAAGGGCATGCAAAATTGTATTAAGCTAGTTACATTTCAGTGAAATTATTCACATTCATTTCATCCCCTACACTTGAATCTTGCAAACTCTGGATTTTGAAAGAAATCAGCAAGTCTATTTACCCTAGAAAATTTTGAATACTATAGTAGCATTCTCATTAATTCTTCCAGTGAAGGGTTAAGGGCACAGGCACAGCCATATGCTTCCTGGAGATAACCGTGTGGTTTTACAGAAGGACTCTGGCTTTTTCAACGGGATTATATTCCAGTCATACTTGGAAAAGAACAGAAGTGACCTCACAAAAAAACATACTAGTTGAGTACATACCACCTTTTTAGAGAGGGCTTTGAACCAGGACCAAAGTGAAAAAGAGGACAGAAGTGGCAACCTGAATAGGGCTGTAAAATCCAACAGTGAAGAGGAGGGTTCCTAATAAAGATATAATATGGTCCTTGCTCAATTGACTGTAAGCCCTAACCGTGAATAACAGGAAATAAGATATACTGGAAGTCTAAACTATGTTTTAGTTAGCATAACAGAGACTCATTAGGGGTAATCAATATCACCATTTTAAAGAATATAGTTCATCCAGGAATAAAGAGAGAACATTTTCATTTGATTCCTATCAAGGAAAAAACGTTTGGGAATGACAGCTTATTATACAAGACAGGTCATGAATTGCTGACATTGCCAGTCCACAGGAAAGAAAAAAGGACAGAAAAAAAAAAAAAAAGTGCAATCAAATTCAGTAAGTCACTCTACAAATATTTCTTGACTGTGAGGATATTTCTTGACTGTGAGGATAAAAACTTTATAGCTCTTTTTTTTATTATTTGGAGGGATAACAGACACAAATGGATAGTACCCCAAAAGAGAGGACAGCTGAGAAATGTAGTAAAAGCAAATGTTTGGCTTTTTAGCAAAGATTGCTAAATCACGGATTCTTCACTGATTTCAAACATAAGACAACAAGGGGGATGAAAACAAAGTTGACTCACTGGGGAGCATAAGGCAAAGCCTGGCTATATGCACGGAAGATCACACTCAGGCACCTGCAATTTGGCAGGTTTCCAAGTGCCCTGCAAACACATCAGTACCAAGTGGAAGTACCATGAGAGCAACTCGTGGATGATAATGAGAGGGTCAGAAAGTTCTGTCACTCCTTTGCATCACCTGTCACTGAAAGGTCAAGCATACATTAGCACAGGAATAAGATTTCAGTCTAAAATTAAGAAAGAATACAAAGATATTTTCAGTCTGCTTGGCCTGACAAACTTCATCCTAGATATTCCCAGTAGCAGCTGAAGCGCTCTAAGGCAATCTGAGCAATCATCTTAAAAACTTCTAAGAAAGAGGCAAGATAGGAGAAGAGTAGAAGGATTAAATACTGCTCTTGCAAAGGGAATTAAAACAACAATAACAAAAAAATATGAGCTGGCAAAGGGAAATGGTTACACACTTGTTAACCTAACCACAGTCTCCAGGAGAGTTCTGGAAGAAATAACAACACAGGCTATTTGTAAGTACATGGAAAACAACCACACGAACAGAAACCTCAATAGAGGTTGTATGGAGGACACATATATCTCTAGTGTGAGCCCCTGCACGTTAAGGGAACAGGCTTCATAGGTTCACCATCATATCATCAAGGTGTGCCTTGAAATTGTCTTAGGTGACCTTTCCAAAAGCAAGTTAATGAAACACAGTCTAGATAAAATTACTGCTATGCAGGTGCAAAACTATTTGGATAACCCTCCCCCAAGAGTGGCTATGAATGGTTCTTTGTCCCAGAAGTCAATTCAGGGAAAGGTTTTACAGATGTTTGATTCTATTCAACACTCATTAGCTATCTAGATGATAAAGAATATTCTTCATTAATGTACACATAGTAGAAGAAAGACTGGAAGTACAGTGCAAAATACCATCAGAATGAAAAAGAATTATGTTAAACTTTAAAATACTGAAGAAAAAAATGAAAATAAATACAAAAAATTGCAGGGGCAGCTGTTAGGTAAAACAATTAGCTCAGTAAGTACTTGATAAGTACAGGCCACTAAGCAGCAGTTCAGAGACCAAATGTGGTTTAGAACAAATCATAATCAAACTCTAAATAAGCCAAAAACTTATTGGCTCCATTCAGCACTGGTAGGTTTTTGTTGCAGTACTGCATACCACTTAGCTCCTGCCCTTGGAAAAGACATGAACAGCAAGTGTCTAGGAGACAGCAACAAGCACAAGTTAGAAAACTAGACCTCTAGAGAAAGCTCAAGTGACCTCTGATGGCTGGGCCTAAAGTGGTGGCTGAAGGGAGACATGACCACACAGGCTTCAATTGCCACTTCTCAGTGAACATGATGTATGAAACTGTGAGTTTACACCTCCTGTAGGCTAAACATCAACAAGTGTCCAACCCTGTGATAGTGAAGCACTGGCAAGGGCTCTTCAAGAGAAGATTATGATCTCTCTTTAGTGAAAATCTTGAAATTCACAGATTACAAAAACACACCCACCCACCCACCAGGCAGGAACAACCCTGACTTTGGGGGGGACTTTGACAAAGAGGGTCTTTCCAACCCTTTCCTTTGACTGCACAAAAAGCAAATACATATATTAAAAGTTCACAAGATAAACAACTCTTAAAATTAAGTTGAGAAGTGTGTGTAACAATTTCAAAACAGGTGAAGATGGAGGGGAGGGGAGCTCAAGAATCTCACATATGTAGTTCCATAGCTGAAACAGCTTTGTAGCAGGGCAAACAATTATGGAATTATTGTTCTCACAGTTATAGTGTATAAATCTCTCAGAGTACATAGCGTTATCAGGAGGGTATTTCCTTCACAAGACAAACAAGTTGCAGAGAAAAACAGTTAGAGTTTCTTCTTTTTTTTTTCTCCACCTATGCATGCTTCTATCAATACAGAAGAATCTAAGAGCCAGTATAAATGCAAAACAGTGGGTTTTTTTCCCCCAATATCCCACTGATTCCTGATCACTATTCTGATAAGCTTCCATGTTTTCTGCCTTATATGCATCAATATAAATTTTTTCCCCAAAAACATTTTTCCTCAAGATTTATGTAGCATTACATTAAAAATACACTGTTATAAATGGGAAGTACCTAAGAAAGCCCTTGAAAACAAGGGCATCTATGTACCTGTAGAGCTCCTCAGCTGAGGTCACAGAAGTCCACAGGATAACCCATTAGACTTACATGTTTACAGAAACAGGCTTTTACAGCCCCAGTTACAGAATCATTAAACTGGTTATGTCAAAAATGGGGTCACTTTCTTAATTAAAAAAAAAAAAAAAAAAAAAAAAAAAAACGTGAACACAGGTAGAAATAATGACAAAAGCTTCCTGAACATAAGCTCTGTCCGTAGCTTTTTCCCCCAATCACACTGCATTTCGTTGTACAGAACTTGGTATTCACGTCAGCAAGCTGCTTGGATATTCAACAATGTAAAGACATAAACCACTATGAAGGTCCGAGTACTAACTTGGGAGTGCTCCATCGGAGGAGTTAGCCAAGCAAGGAAAAAGTGCTTAGAATAAATAAACAAACTTTCTGAGAATCCAACAGAGCAGAGCAGCAGCTCATCCACCAGCACCTTAGGACACAGGGGCAGCTCACACAGGTGTGTGGGATACTTAAAACCAAGGCACAGCCCGTTATAAACTTCCTTCGGGGGCTCCGAGAACCCAGGGGCAAGGCCAGCCCCAGGCCCCGCGCCCCACGGGCTCCCGCGGCCCCCGCGACCGTGAGGCTGGGGCGGGAGCGGGGAGCTGAGGGACTCGACGCCCCAGCCCAGCTGCTGGGAGCGCCTCTCTGCGGGCCGCCCGCCCGGGCCCTGCTCCCTGCCCGGGGAAAGCGGCGCCCCGACCCCTCAGCCCGGGGCCGCCCAGCGGGGCGCGCGGCGGGAACGCGGCCCCCATCCCGCAGCCGGAGCCAGGCCGCCCCCTGCGCCCGCCGCCCTTTATCGGGGGCGGCTACGGCGGCCGCGCGGGCCCAAAGCGGCGCGGCGCGTGGCGGCCGCAGGCACGGGGGGC